CGTGGTGGCATGCGTCTGTAGTCCCAGTTACTTGGGAGGCTGAGGCCAAAGAATCGCTTGAACCTGGGAGGAGGAGGTAGGGGTGAGCTGAGATTGTGCCACTGCACTCCAGCCTGGCGACAGAGCAAGACTCCATCTCAAATAAATAAGAAGAGAGAGGTATTTTGAGAAAATCCTGAAGTGGCCACTGTTGAGGAAACCACCACCCCTGGGGAGAGGGGTGTGAGTGGAGGGGGAATGCGGGAAGCCCCTGTGGATGAGGTCAGAGAAACACAGTGTGTCCAAATAAGGAAGGCCTGGTAATCTGGGAAGGCCTCTGGAAAGAAGAGGCTGCAGTGAACCTGGGAAAGTGGGCTCTGACAAGAGAGGGGCTGTGTCCTGGGCCCTAGACAAGAGGCTGGCCCTCCTGCAGGACTCTGCTAAGGTCGATGCCCTGCTCCATGGACAGAGGACTCTGCTCCAGGCCCTGCAAGAGATGAGGTAAGGGACTCGGTGGGGACCCCTCCACTACCTTGTTTCTCTGCCTGAAGTTCCTCCATTAGCCCTTCATTCCTTCCATCATTTCCTGAGCGCCCAGCACACAGCCTGTCAATTGGAAGGGCTGGGGGTGGAGTTAGGTTTGTTGAGTTGACTTGAATTTAACTGAATCAAGTTTAATGTTTTGCAAGTCCTTGTTGAAAAGCAATTCTCTCCAGGAGAAGCCCATCACGAAGGCCGCCTCAGACACTCCCACCCTCAGGAGGGTTAAGAAATCTGAGCGTTCCTTCAGTGGCAGCTCCTGGGATGAGGGGCATTTTGATGGGGGCTCTTGGAGAGGGAGCACAGCCAAGACCAGACCAGCTGGAGGAGGCAGTCCCTGACTTGGTTTTGTGCCCGCATTAGCTTCCTGTTATCCCACTCTAGGCTGGATCTCTGGAGCCCTGGGGGTTGGGGGAGTTCTGGGGAATGCCGTGGAGGAGGCACGCATCCCAACCTGAAGCCTAAAGCCCCCCTGTACACACAGAGCTAGATGGCTAGGGTTGGGGGTGGAGAGGCACCTAGATGAGAAGAAGGAAAGGAGTTAAATCCAGGATGGAAGGCAGAGCCGGGGAGCCTGGGGTTGACACAGATAGCTTTAGGGAGATCTTTATCTGAGCTAAAGTCTCAGGATCTAGGAAGAAGGTTGGAGGAGAAAAGACCAGTCCCCAAGAAGGGGCCCCATGGATGGTACCTGTTCCTCACCCATGTGCTGTCCCTGGGGAGATGGGAAATGATTAGGCCATTTGCATGGAAGCAAAAGAGGTAATGAGTCATCTTACCTGGTTTCCACCCCCGATTAGGGATGCAGCTGTCCGCATGGCCGCAGAAGCCCAGGTCTCCTACCTGCCTGTGGGCACTGAGCATCATTTCTTACAGCTGGACCACATCCTGGGCCTCCTGCAGAAGGAGCTTCAGGGCCCGGCGGTGAGGGGGAAGTAGTGGGGAGCATGGGGTCCCCAACCCTGATGTCTGGGCTCAGCCACCCTTCTTCTAGCACTTTGGCAGCCCCGAGCCATCCTGCCTTTGCCCTCCCCTCCCAGGACTGCTGGCAAGAACATCTGTGCCTGTGTCAGTGTCTGTATGTGCATGCATACATGCCAGCACACATCTCATCTTCTCTCTGCCCTCTCTGCTCTCTGGAGAGTCCCACAGACTCAGCACCAGCAGGGCCCTGGACACCCCTCAATCCAAATGGGGTGGGCCGTGTCCAAGATCATTGAGTCCAGTGGTGGAATCGGATCTTCCCCATGCCCTGTCCCATCCTCGTTCCCTCGCCCTCACCCTGCTCACCCTGTCTTTGGCTCTCTACTTCTCTCTTTCTCTTCTCTTGAGCCCTGGGCCCCTTGATGATCCCAGGCCTTCCCAGCTGTTCCCACAAATGCAGCCATGGGAGCTGGGGTGGGGGAGGCAGCTTTGTACACTGCCCCCTCTCCAAGTTCCCTGGATGAGAGCCAGGACACCCCAAGCCTGGGGAAAGGAAACAGAGCATGCACATGGCCTAGATTCCAGGTCCTCCCCCTCCTTTTGAGTAAGAAACTAAGCTAGGACCTTAGACTTTCCCCTTTCAGAAGGCAGCGGCCAAGGCCCCCCGCCCACCTGGCCAGCCCCCAAGGGCCTCCTCGTGCCTGCATCCTGGCATCTTCCTGTTCTTCCTCCTCATTCAGACTGTAGGCTTCTTCAGCTACGTGCACTTCAGGTGGGCCACCCCGTGAGTAGGACTTCCCACAGCACTGGCATCTCCTGGTTCTCAGCTATAGCCATTGGATTTAGGAGAGGGGACACTTCAGCCCAGAGGGGACCTGCCCAGTCCCCAAATCACAAAGAGCACAGTGCAGGATAGGGCCCATTCTCTCACCAAGCACCACTGACCACCTGCTCATCCCCCAGCCCCATCTGGGTCCTGCTCTCATGGAGCTCACTCACACAGGTCTAACTGACCCTGTGTAGTCAATGCCATGATGTCAGGAAGCTGAGGGGCTACAAGAGTGCAGAACACACTTGACCCCCCTTGGTTAGGGAATCAACCTGGAAGGGACATTTGATATGGTCATTAAGGTGACTAGGAGTTTTCCACCCTGACAAGATAGGTAAAGGCATAGAGGCAGAGGGAACAGCATGAGAAAAGGCAGGGAGGTATGAGAAAAACATAATATTTTAGAGAAAAAGTGGCAAGTTCAGTAGTGTTGGAGCAAAGGGCAGGACCTTTGTGAAATTGGGCAGAGATCTGAAAAAGTGAGAGGAGGTCACTAGTTTTGCCTGGTGTGTGTTTGCTGAATGAACGTGCACCATTTAGAGATGTGGGGTGTGCTAAGGGCCTCAGCAATGAGACTGACAATCTTTGTTGGTGGAATTTCAAGACAAGAAGAGTCCGTGTGGGCTGGGATGGTCCTGGAGGAGGAGTAAAATGAGCTAAGCTTTAAAAAGCACAAGGTGGAAATGCTCACAGGCTTCAGCACATGCACAGGAGTGCAGTGGTGGCAATCAGCCTGGAGCCACTAGGACAGACCTTACATGCCCCGGGGGGAAGCGTGGACCATATGCAGCAGGCCAAAGAGCCGCAGAAAGTCCAAGAACAGGGGAGGCTGTGGTGCAGTGAGTGTAGCAAGACAAGCACGAGAGTCTTGGTTTTTCTTTTTCTTTTTTTTTTTTTTGAGACGGAGTCTCGCTCTGTCACCCAAGCTGGAGTGCAGTGGCCGGATCTCAGCTCACTGCAAGCTCCACCTCCCGGGTTCACGCCATTCTCCTGCCTCAGCCTCCCGAGTAGCTGGGACTACAGGCATCCGCCACCTCGCCCGGCTAGTTTTTTTTGTATTTTTTTTAGTAGAGACGGGGTTTCACCATGTTAGCCAGGATAGTCTCGATCTCCTGACCTTGTGATCCGCCCGTCTCGGCCTCCCAAAGTGCTGGGATTACAGGCTTGAGCCACCGCGCCCGGCCCGAGTCTTGGTTTTTCAAAAGCCCATAAAGGAGAGATGCAAGTAGCCTGTAACCTTTTCTCTCGCAGCAGGCAGGAGCTGAACGAGAGCCTGCAGGAGTGTCTGTCCACAGGCAGCCTTCCTCTGGGTCCTGCACCATACACCCCCAGGGCCCCGGGGATTCTCAGGAGGCAGCCTCTCCCTGCCAGCATGCCTGCCTGACCCACCTCAGAGCCTGCTTTGCATCACTGGGAAGCAGGCAGTGTCTGGGGTGGGTGCTTGATCAGCATCCTCTTCGTCTGGGTGCCCAGCTCCCACCCACACCTGAGCTGTCAGCACACTCCCATCTTATTAAAGGTGATTTCCCTCTCCCCATGCTGTGATATGCTGGTCTTCTTTCCAGCCTCACCCTAATCTCTGTGAAGGCTTCCACCCCTTCTGAGTAGCTGGCTAGGAGCGCGCTCCAAGCAGGCAAGGAGGCCAAGGCCTGGCTTAACCTCCAAAAGACCAGATACCCCACGGGCTTTGAACCCTCGACTATGGAGGAAAAGAGAGCCATGACTGTATATAATTCTGTCCTCAAATTCACCCAGAACAGAGAGCAGTGTCCGTCCTGAGTCCCTCCAGCTCAGCCAGCATCACTGAGCAGCTCTCTCCCTCCCCACTCCTAACTGCTCCAGGGGCAGCAGGGGAGGCGCGTGACAGAGCAACCCTGAGAGGCCAACTCGGGGAACCATAACTGGGATTCCCGCTCGCGCCCTCAGGTCTCCCTCCCTTTTCCAGCGTCAAGCTCTTTGGGCAGCTGCTGGGTTCAGTGAGTTGGGTGGGTGGGGAGAATGAGGGGCGCCCAAGGCTGGGTTTTTACCCCTTGCTGCTACCTGGATCTCCCAGCTGAAATTCCAGTTATTAGTGGCCCAGGAGAGGAGAAAGTTGGAAGACGCTAGGGAACAGGGTTCCAGGAGTGTATCAGCTCAACCCCTCTCCCGGGAGAGCGACCCCACCACCGCAGGCCCTAATCCGCTGTCAGCAGTGCCCAGCGGAGCTCGGCGTTGAAGGAGGCACGTGGGGGAGGCGGGAGTGGGGAGCAGGCACGTGGTCCAGCCTTCTCAGCCCCGTGCTGCCCCCCGCCCCCCGTGAGGAGGG